ATTCTGCTTCAAGAAAAGCAATAGCTTATGCTCTTTAGCTTTTTAGTTTTACCAGGGGAAATGAAGTACCCAAAAAGGAAAAGAATCATGATTTATCTTTGCTGTAAAGAGGATCCCTTTTCCAACAGATTTCAGCTATGCTCAATTCATTCGTGTGTTAGTTTTCGTATTAACATGTTCTTTTGTTTCAGTAAATTCACAAGGTTTAATCAAAGCTTTCTTTAAGAAAAAAGAACTCTTTGTAATACCAAGGCAGCCAATCCTAGTGCTAAATCTTGACATCATTTTTAAGATTCTTGTAAGTAGGAAAAGGAAAAGATAGTACTTCCTCCATCTCAATTTATGTGACAGTTGTTTGATTGACCACGGAGTTTAGGAAAGAAAGTCTTTTGAAACTTGTGGTCTAACACATACCATAGACATTTCTGTGGCTATAAAATCATGTCATAAGGGTAAAATGAGTAGTTTAAAGTTAAATTATTTCTAAATATGGGGAGGTGTCGTTCCTTTTGGGAAAGACTAATACGGATAGTATCACATAAAATGGGATCAAGGGAGTAGGTTTTGGTGTAACAATACATAATACATAATGGAGGAGAAAGTGAAGAAAACCAAACTTCTCTTTCCTTTGTTCTGTTTAAGAGGGCTGTACCAATCCATTTATTTTGTTCCTCTTCTTTTTAGCAAGTCAAAGTACCGGAGGAAGAATTCTGAAATTTTTCTGTTCTCTTCCTTTCCAGTTTTTCTGAGAAACGATGTTAAATCCCATGCAAATCGTCAAATCTTGCTTGCTTATTGGGAGTTTGTACTTTGCTAGATTTTAACCATCATTTTTTTGGCATGTATGACAGGTTGGAGATATGGCAGAGTTAGGAATTTCAGAGGCATTCAAAGTCAAACAGGCTGTGTTGCTCTCTGCAACCGAGGCTGCTGAGATGATCCTACGAGTTGATGAAATCATCACATGTGCCCCACGGAGGAGGGAAGGAATGTAAGGTGTGGTTAATCTGTTGAGATGTTTGTATTCGGTCTTGTGGTTAAGATTTTAGGTATAACTGTAGATTAGCCAAACTATGGAATGTTGTTCGCTTTCATGCCAGTGTACACACTGCTTGAGAAGTTTTGAAGAAACGTTATTGTTATGTTTATGTTTTTGTTAAGTTTTGATAGGTTTGATCTAGATTTGCCTATAACCGAATATGTTGTGCACCGAATAGCTTTTATTCCGCTGCTTCTGTGGTAGTCTACGGACATTGTGTCAGCAGAGGCGAACTTGAAATGGAATTGTTTTCAAGAGACTCTTGAGCGTGTTAAAAGATTTAATGAGAATTGTATTTTACGTGTCCGAATAACTTTCTACTCCAAAGTAATGAAATGAGGCGAAAGCTTCCTACTTCTACCACAATGATCATTATGCATCTGCAATTATGGAATAACAGTTTGGATCTTGTGAGTTGTGTGAACCTATGCAATTTATTGGGAGTATGAAAATATATCAAAGTTGAGAAGAAACACGAGATCCATTTAAAATCACTTCCATTAGGGGCTTTAACTACGCTCTGTAGAACAGAGATTTCATAGTTATACATACGGATTGGATCGTTGGCCTATATGATTGGTTTTATTAATGAATAGATTTCAGATATCACTTCAAAACTAGCTGAGACAATGTACTATGACTTAATCCAATTTATCATTGTTGCATGATTGCATTGTTCGACGAAAAGCAAAAGAACGGGAAGGAACGTTGCAGAAATGTTATCCAATGACTTCGTAAACTTCTTTGATTACATTTTTGTTTCCCTGGAAGTTCATGGCACTTCCATCCAACCAAAAGAAAAGCTAGTGTCTTACAATTTGAATTCTTTATATAAGTTATTTTTCTTTCTTTTGTTTTATCTTTAAATTGACTTCTTCATATTCAAATTGACTTCTTCATACATATTTTATTACATAAATTTCGGGCTAGCTCGCTGCGACCATTTCATTTTTTCTAATGGTGAACTTTTCCTGATACTTGAATTTTAAATCTTGCCGTGGGTCTATCTGAAACAATCTCTACCCCCAGCGCAGTGGTAATGTCTGCGTACACACTATCCTCTTCAGACCCCCTGTGGGGTTATACTGGGTTGTTGTTGTTGGACTTTAAACCTTGCCGCGGTAAAGAGAACTAACAATAGACTTTCTCACTTTTACGGTCGATACCTGTCACCAAATACTAGAACGAGTATGCAATTATTAGCGGTTCTCCAAATACACCAATCATATAAGTTCTATATTCTTGGAGATTACTATGATTATAACAGTAAGGACAGCATTAAACAACTAAATAGCTTAGCAATAAGAATAATTTGTCCTAATACTACGAGCTATAAAACTGTGCTTGGACTCTCCAATACCTTAACCTAAAGTAAAAATTGCATCAGCTATAACACTAAGATAGACCTAGAAGACTGAGGGCTTGGCATCTTCGCAAGTTATCAGTTGTCACATCTTTGCACCTCTTGAAATGAGAATGTCCCCATATGGTGCCTCCTGTTCGACTTTTATAAAGTCTCGAGTGGCCAGAACTGCACATAGAATGGAGCAAACTTTAATTCTCTTTAATGAGAAAAGCTGAAAACTAAAAAGTTTCTCTGTGCTCAATGCAGAGTAAAAGAATTGTAAGGAATATATATACCACAAGTCTGATAAAAGAGACAAGCTGCTTGTTTCTTTGTCATCCCAAGAGTCAGTTCATTCAAACATTCTGCTTTGGCTGATCCAGGAGTGTCAAAGTGACTCTTCAGCTGCCTGTAGACAATGTACCATGTGAGAAGTCAATAAATCAGCTGATTCATGATGAAACTGGAGGAAGTTTTAGGAACTAATGAAAAAGGATTTACATCCTGATAGTGTCAGTCATCTTGTCAAGAGGTTGAGTAGTGAATTGATGTTGGGTTTGTGTTGGTCCAGTTTCCATCAACATCTCTGCAAAAGCAGTAAAGGCAGGTTTATGACAACTAAACCACATTAAATAAAATGACCAGAACTAAAATGGGAAAGTTGAGTGTTCACAAACCATTGTCTGGTGTATAACCATTCTCTGATAGTTCAGATAGTCTAGCAATCTTGAAAGTTGGATCAGGATGGTGCCATTGGTACTCTTCTGCTACTGGTTCAAGGCCACTTGCACCGTGCCTCGATGAAGAATTGGGTCTTTTCTTGTTGGACCTGAAGGTTTGAAATTTTGATCAGTGTAACCAGCTGCTATACATACAGAGAAACTTTGGTAATAAAAATATAAGGTTAAACTTTCCTTTGGAACCTGGACCATGATATTCATTATTTCCTTCTGTTAATGTGAGTATGACTGGAGTAGTTTATCGTTGAACAATTACCGGCTTAATATATAGTATGTACTAGTAGTACTAACCGGTTTGAATTGGTTATGGAGTTCTGTGATAGGTAACCATGATCAGATCCTGAGCTTGGAATGGATCTAGGCTCATCACCTATAGATTCACACAAATAAAAGTTATACCACCATTACAAATTGCGTACACATGATGGGCATTGGAATATTCATGTAAATTCTACATACCAGAGCCAGGTGTGGCCATGTGATTGGTCTCATTCACTCCATTAACCTCTTTTGGATGCAGTCCGAGGTTTGTAAGATTGGTTCTGAGGTCCTCCATGAGATCAGGTGGAATCTCGTTATTATTGACATATGCCCTTTGTTTCTCTATGGAGATCCCTACTGATGGGGAACCTACACCAGTTTGCAACTCTTCGAAAGGCTTCACATTCAAATGCTCAATCAGAAACACTTGAAGCCAGTTGTCGTTTAACACTAATTGAGAATCAGAAGTTCCTTACGTATCTGGCAGGTTCAAAATTGTGCATCCTTTCAGCTGGAGATGTGTAGGATGGTTCAGGAGGATAAGGTGGAGAGGCCTTTCCTGCATGTCAAAATGGAATTACCATCTGTTTGTAGTTTTTTCAACAGAGAATCTAAAAAGCATGGATGAAAAACCAGACCAGAAGGTGAATCATGGGGAGGTTGGGTACTTCTCATCCACAATTTTAGGAGTGGTGCTGGATAGTGAACTTCCCTATTTCCATTTGTGAGCAACCCTTCTAGTAATGCCATAGGAGGCACCTCCATGAGTCTGGCAATCTTCATAGACGATGAGGCACTCAAAGTCTGCACAGAGCAAGAACTTAAGGTTAAGGTTACTAATAAATGATGTTGCATCTTAGTGTAGTTAAAAAGAGAGGTACATTTGTTATTCTTAGGATATTCAAACACCATCCATTGATGGAAGAGATAAACATACTTTGTTCGTAATAAGACCCATAGTCAAATTTTAATTGCTCAAGGTGTACAAAATGGAAGCGATTGAGGAGGGGACGATCTAGATTTGCACCTTTCTCTTTTTCCTTGTTCCTGATACAATATCTGAAGAACCCTGAAGCCAGGTATGATATATGTGACCAGGAATAATAGTTTGTTCATAGTCAATTGCAAGATGCGCTAATTTTCTTGCTCTTTGTCGAGCTGGCTTTGGCCTTTGTTGGTCCTGCCGTTGCTACAGAATCATGTTAAAACGTTGGATTAATACTGAAGGTTTTCCATTACATTATTTCCTAACTCGGTTGCTTGTGGAATTTCTACCTCAAAAACTTCTTCAGCTTCAGATTGCTGCTTCATTTGCTCCTCTGGATGTCTGTCAGGGATCTCATTAGCTGCAACAAAATTTCTCTTTATTCAATCTATTTGCAGAAGTAAGTAATTACTAAGGACATCTAAGGACTTTACAAGCTCAACTCAATCAAATTGAGCTTTGTGCTTGAATGAACTATGCATGTAAACTGGAAGTTTAAAGTTAAGGGTTCAGCAACCAGGTAGTCACAAGTATATTAGCTGATCTAATAGTAGGTAAGTGCGACTTGCATCCATATTCGTATTGGAGAGCAAGGTTTGAAAGTCTCTCTTAAAGCACCAAGCGAATCATCTTAAGTCCATCTGCTATTTACATCTCACAAAACTTCACTTATCTGAACTAGAAGCTAGTAATATTTTTAAAAAAAAGAAAGTCTAGTAAGCACATTCTTACGTTGACGGGCTTCTTGTCGAGGTGGAGATGGCACAAGAGTACTTGGGATTTGAGATTCCTCTGGCTGGGTAAAATTCATTTGTGTTTCTTCATCCCCTTCAATATCAAACCTGTGGAATAGTTCATCCTCAAAAACACTCCCATGATTTAATGATGTATAATTTGGTTCATGGGAAGTCATTATTTTAACTGACAATATAAACTTAGAAAGGTAAATAGTGAAAGTTTTAAATAGAGAGCATTTTAACTGTTCCTCATGATACCTCTCAAAATGATTAAACATATCTATATCTGCCTGATGGGAATCAAAATGTTCAGCCAGGGTGATATTATCAGCAGCAACTGCAACAAGGGTTTTCGGGTGTGTGTAGAGATAAGCACAACAAGAGAAAACTGGAAAATAATAGTATATGCAAGGATATAGTTAGCATAGTGTATGATGATAGTGGGATCTACATGTATACCTTGATGAAAGTCCTGGGCAGGTTCTTCCTGTGCATTGGGTTTATCATAGAGGTCTACATTATCTAGTCTCTGCACATACAACATCCAGGAGTTTAGCTGTAAATCTTATGTTGAAATTACTAATGATCATCTTACTTTTACTATATGTACTTGGCATCAGACAACCATTGCCTGCTCTTCAAGGTAATGAACAAAGGACAAAATTCCAAATTAACTTTAGATAGTCTTTCTAAAAGCTTAAACAACTGAAGAGTTGGAATAACAAGAAATAACAGAACAAACTGCAAAACATATGAAGTAAAATTGGGTAACAGAGACCAAAGGAAAAACGAAAGGAAATCAAATCGCTTTATTATTGTTAATTTTCTACTAATTCAACGAAAGGAAATCAAATCGCTTTATTATTGTTAACTTTCTACTAATTCAACTTGCAATATTGTTGAACATTTGAAATACCACTTTTTATCTGTATCCTATTTTTCCTAACAAAACAAAAAATCTGGGGTTTAAGTTATTTAGCGCTTTCCATTAATTTACCATCGCGAAATAGGAGGTTTGTTCGAAACCCATCATTGTGACAGTTTCCGAATTTCGTAGAGTCTGTTCAATCTCTGGGAGTTCTTCCTCCCGGTTTTCTGGCAGGGTAACAGCTTCATACCTGCAGGGGATGAAAAGCTGAATTCAACCTTGGGAAAACCACAAAACGAATCAGAACTTAATTTTTTACTACCAATCAAAATTTAAATAACCCATTGATGAACTGTAAGCACTATCAAGGTAACTGAAAACTGCTACGTGCTAAAATGCGCCATTTCAATCTATGATGCAAAAATACGCTGATGTTGAAGTGGAGATGAGGTACTCACTTGGCTTGCAATTTACTCTTGGGAAGCAACGTAGGATCAGGAGCTGCTGATTTCACCTTCCAAGCTTCATTGATTTGCACCTGAAAATTACCAAACTCACATATTACGTAATCACAAAAGTCATCACCAATTGGACGACAAATAAATGCTGAAATTAACAAAAACAGAGCAAAGAGAGAAATTAGTTGATTGGTGAATCGAAGACCAGCGTTACTACCATGAGACGAGTCACATCATCTGCATTGAAATAAACAACAACAAAAACGTTGAAGCAATAAGGAAGGGAAATTAGGAGTAAATTTCCAAAAAAGTTGACATGAAATTCAAATAAAAATGATGATATTCATACCATAAAGCAGTTTCACTTTGCGTTCGTAAACAATAACTACTCCACCTGAGATACATACAACTGACGCTTAAAATCCTCAAACGAAAACTTCAGTTACTCAATTCAGTAAAACATACCCATGAGAATTCCAGAGAGTCTCAGAGCCATTGGGACCGATGGATTTAAGATTTGTTCACTGCACTAAATGAAGAAACAGAAGATTAGTACTGAAAATCAACGAGGAATAAAGTGTTGTTTGACGTAGTAATTGAAGAATTAAAAAAACGCCTGACCAGATCTTAATAATATTGAGTTTACTAAGCTTTTTCCGGTTGATCTTCGAGTGCAGAGTGGCCGCCATCCTTCACAGCAAAGAGAAAATTCATAAACAATTCGAATTAAGCATTCTTCGTAGACAATTTTAATTGTGATAACTTAAACATATACGAAAAATTGAATTAAGGAGCTTAAAAAAGGAAACAAAAATCTAGCACAGAATTACAAAATATGGAAGTAAAAAATACAGAAACTCCAAACATGTAAAAGCTTATGTATGAGAAGCGAATTCAGAAAGGAGAGATCATAACGACAAGTAGTAACTAATGATTTTCATCATATTTGGCCAAGCGGAGCTTTGCGAGTAAGAAGCTGGATCATTAAATTAAAAAACAACTCGAATTTAAGCATATTTTAAAACAATAACGGATCCAGTTTGAACTGTGACAAAACATTTAACTCAAAGTGAACTTCAATTTACGAAAGTCGTATGAAGAAGCTTGAGAGAATACAGAAATTACAATATATGGAGGTAAAAAACGCAAAAACTCAAAACATGTAGCTTATTTAAGTGAATTAAACGAAATTAGAAAGAAACAATCGAAATGAGAAGTAGAAATTGACAATTTTTCACCATATTTGGCCAAGCGGAGCTTTGCGAGCAAGGAGCTGGTGAGAGTAGAACATATTGTAGTAGTGGAGAAAGAGAGTTCAGGCACTGAAATTGCAGAGAGAATTTGAAGTGAGAAGGTTTTGTATAAATAGGTGGATAGAGAGAGAGAGAGAGATCACATGCAAAGTGAGAAAGGGAAAGCGTGTGTGTGTTTTGTGCCTGTGCGATTCTCTGGTATACCCGCCATAATCTGTTACGATTTCTATTGCATTTTTTGCAGAGCCGCTTTGTGGGCCCCACCTTACAAAAGAAGAATGAATGTTTCTTTCATTTACTCGACTCGACTCGACTCTCACAGCTCAAGTGATAGAATTTCTGTGCTATCATTCCTATCCACGCGCCCCTCTGCTCTTCTTCAACGCCTTAACGGGTTAAAATTTTATTCCTACTCAGTATTTACATCAATTTTTTGGCAACCTCTTGACGCACTCCATGCATGGACATTACGTGATACCGGAGTACCCTAGCTATGATGAGGTGTTGGAGAGGCACCAAAGGAATTGCTGGATATTATGTCCTTGTTGGAGTTTACGTCAAAGCTAAGCCAGGCTGCGAGGAATGAGAGGGACGAAAACTTCAACAGGTATCTCTATAGCGCTCTAAATGTGATAATGAGCAGGCTAGGTGTGACGGTTGAGAAGCATATGCATCTATGCAATGATCTCTCCGGTTCTTCAAAGGAGATGTTGGGGATTGCGCATGGCAGTCCCATTCACCCGTCTGAGAATGAGAACACCCACAAAGGATCCGATGATGACGCTAAGATTAGTGATGAAGTCACGGGGCCCATGGCTTTGGTGCCCCTGGGAGCGTATGATGATGATAAGCCCGGAGCTGCGTCTAGTGGGTATTTTGAGGAGGAGGAATCCGACTAGCAGGGAGTTCTTTCTTTCCACCTTACTTTGTTTTGAATTTGTTTATGCACAGGGGACTATGCATTATCTAAGTGTGGGGTGGGGAAAATACTTTCTGATTTGTAATTGTATAAAACTGTTCTTTTATTTTTTTAGCTTAGTTTAGAACTCACATAATCTAATTAGTTAGTAGTAGTTGTAAAATAAAAAGTAAAAAAAAAAACAAAAATAGAAAAAACAAATCAAAAAAATCTCGAACTTTTCGCGACAATGGATCTTTTGGACAGTTTTCTTGAGGGATTAAAGTCTGATTAAAAATACCAAAAAGATTTTCTTTTGTTTTTGTTAGGATAGTTAGGTAGTATCCTTTGATTTTTATTTAGATGCCGGTTCTTTTCTAAGGGTGTAGCTTGAACAGGGTGTTTTGTTTTTATTTTTATTTTTTTAGGAGTAGGATAGGAAGAAAATTGAGTTGCTCTGAGATACCTGTTGACATGTTTGGTGCTGGCACATTGAGCTATGGCATGCGCTCTGTTTTCCTGTATATTCGATTTGAATTATATTGCCTAAGTAAAATAAGTAGCCTACTCTGTGACGCCTTTTTCTCAGTTATTTGACTTGTATGGCACCTAGTGCATTATTGCTTTAAAATTCTCAACTATCTGTGCTTGCTTGACTTGAGAGTTGAACAGAACGGTCTTGATTGAGTCATGCGCAATGTGTGTGTAAGGATTCGTGGTATTCCGTGCTATCTTGTGTAGTTTAGAACTTGCCCTGTGGGTTAGTCAAAGCGAAATCTGTCCTAGTTCGCCCGAGACTCGGTTATTTCGACCCCAAGACGCCCCCAACTCGTATAAAAGCAAACCTAAACCTCTTTTGGCAAGGGAGACGCTACTTTGAGAGAGGAACAAAAGTACGAACCACTCGGGAGCACGGAATTCATCAATTCTTATATTCTTCTTCTAGCATTCATATATTTTATGTTTAAAAATAATATTTTGATGATTTTTATGAACATGAGTGGCTAAGAACCTCATTATTTTGGGGTTATGGATCGTTCTTGACTGCTAACTTTCACATCTAAATGATTAGACATTATAGATCTCATCACAGGCCGACAAGCTAACTAACTTGGATTTTGATAACTTAATATTGTGCTGCCCATGATGCCTGGTAGGAATAACTCGTTTCAAGGTCAGGTTACTTGGAGACAGTATTGATCAATTGGATGATTAAATTAGTTCTAGTTACTCTGCCGGCGGAGTGGAAGAAGGGGAGGGGGTTATTGAACAATTTAGTGCGACGTGCAATTACTAAGTTCTTCTCCTCAAAGAAAAATCATTTCAATGATAGATTGTAAACACAAATATTGTGAAATGTATTTACATGGTTAATAACATTTTCTTGGAATATATATAACTGGAAAATTTTGTAATTCTGTCTCAGTAATGTATGTGGGTCTTTCACATAGGAGCAAGATGACCTTCTTTAGACAATTTATCTTGCATCCACCTCTGAAGCATTTCCATTGCTGCCTTAGGCTGATCCATTGGAACCATGTGACCTGCATCATGGACCTTAAGGAAAGTTAAAGGTCCATAGTTTTTTTGAACTCCTTTCTCTACACCATCTACTGCAAAAGAAACTTGTGTGGCTTTTCCAAAGGCTTTTTGCCCTGTCCATTTCATTGCATGCACCCATCTCGAATTCCCTGTCCATATAACAAGAAATAGAGTTTTATAATATTATTGTTAGTTGGTAGCTTTGAATTGACTTATAAACAATATGATAGAGTTCAACTTCTATATTTTGACAGACGTAAAAGATAACTTGAAGTAACTTTTGTTAAAAGTAGAATTACTAGCATGAAAAAATAAGGTAGGTTAAAATACACTAATATAGTATGAAAATCCTCTTTTGTGTATATAAGTTAAATCCATATGATAATATAAAGCTTACCAAGCCAATTGCAGATAAGGTCATATTCCCCAGCATACACTAGTAGCTTGATACCATCCTCAAGGAGTGAAGGAATTCCCAATTCAAGATTCCTCATCCAGTCCAACTGCATTGCCTGGTAAACTTCAGAGCTACATGAAACAAACTCAATATCCCCAACACCAAGAGCCTTTTTAACTTGTTGATCATTGAGGAAAGTTTCCATTTTGGAGAAATCATAGCATAGATCGCCCTCACATCTCTTCCGCACATCATAGTACTGCAACTCGGAAATTACAAAATTCATATGACTTTAACTTTTGTATACTGACAGTGTAAAAAAAACTTTATTCTATCACGTCACTTAAAGGATTGTAACTATAGATACCCGTTCATTATAAGTGAGATCAGTAATTTGGAAAATAAGACAAGTAATATGTTGTACATCATTAGCTCAGAGAAAATGAGATTGGTCTTTCTTACGTTTTTGTCACCAGCAATGTCCATAATCTTGTTGAAGATGCTTGTACAAACAAGATATGCAGCCATGCAAGCAGTTCCGCCATCTTTTCCTAATATTATTTGCATAGAAGAAAGCTAATGTAAAGACTAGCTGCTGCTATATGAAGAAGGAAAAGGACATTGAGGATAAACAAAATGAATTACCACAAAGCTTAATTGCTAGTTGACATTTTGGATATGACTTCTCTATGGCATTGTAATCAGATTTTTTGATCAATTTCATATCCAGAGCATAGTCAGTGTAGGCTTTGTATTGAATTTCTGGATCAGTGAGTCCATTACCAATAGCAAATCCCTAAAAAAAATTGTACTTTGTTAAGTCATTGGCATGACGACAAATTCAAATTAAACCTAACTAAAGGTAATTACTGGATAAAGAAAAAGGGATGATATATGGTAAGAGTTAGAAATACCTTGAGATTTACGTAGATTCCTTCTTTATTTTTGTTTCCTTGGTGAACCCGAGAAGCAAATGCAGGAATGTAATGCCCAGCATATGATTCTCCAGTAATATAGAAATCATTTTTTGCATACTGTGGATGTGCCTTGAAGAAGGCCTATCATCAAAAGAATTTGAAAAAGTTTGAATTAAATTTTATTAATTATATCAGTTAAACTTTAGAGATTTATCACGAGCTAAAAAAAAGGAATGAAAGAATAGGATCAACCTGCAAGAAGTCATAGAGATCATTGCTTACGCCCCTTTCATCGTGACGAATATCATCATCGTTTGAACTATAACTGAAACCAGTTCCAGTTGGCTGATCGACGTATATAAGATTTGAGACCTGTAAAATTGCAATTTATCATATGTTATCATTCTTCAACTAACAAAGGAAAGTTGCATGTTTGATTATAGGATTTAACCGGTGTAAACGATTTTTACACTATTGTTATATTTTAACATGTTGTAACATGTTGTATTCGTCCCACTTAAATAAAGTGAAGAGAAGCGTAGTAGTCATTGATGTCAATAAACGTTGAACTACTTTCGAATTTTTGAAATTCTACAAGTCACAGCTAATGAACAACAAGTGTTAAAGAAAAAAATGCTAGTAGGTAAAAAGGTATTTTGCATGATGGAGAAAGGTTGAATAACAAATAAAAACATGGAGGGAATTCTTTTAGATTTTTACCATATTCAAAAGATCTAACTGACGTTTCTTGAGAAATTAATTGGGTAAAATAAAAAGAATAAACTGAAAAAAAGAGAGGAAAAAACAAAAGAAAAAGCAAAAGGAAGAAAACAAGAACCTTGTCCCAGCCGAAATCATTCCAGACAAGAGACATGTTATCTGCAATTTTGAATGGTCCATTTTCATAAAACACAGCCAATTCACTGCTACATCCTGGCCCTCCAGTTAGCCATATAACTACTGGATCATTCTTCCTGCTCCTCGATTCAAAGAAAAAGTAAAACATCCTGCCAAAAACAGATAATTTAGCATTAATTAATAATACCCATAAATTCATTTTTTTACCAAAATGAAGCAAGAAGAACATTTAATCCAATTCAAACCTTGCATCTTTAGTATGTGGAAGACGATAATAACCAGCGTGATGACCCAAGTCTTGAACTGTAGACCCAGAATTACCAACATAAGATAAATTCAATTTCTTTTCAAAAAGTCTCTGTTCAGTAACTGCTGCAGAATCCCCTGTTGCTGCAGCCTTGTTGATATCATGCTTAGGGAATAAAT